GGTGGGATGGGGGTCGCTGTGGCTAAATGCTCGGAGAACACGCCCTTGTCGTCGTCAAGGGCGGCGTTGACGCGCAAAGCGTACAGGTTGTCCTCGATGTTTAGCGCATACGCGTTGAACCAGGCCTGGGTGGGCCGCTGCCGGTCCGGGGTCACCTGCCGGCGCCAGCCGAGGTCAAAGCACAACCACGAGGCTAGCGGCTGAGAGGGGACATCGCGAGAGGGATCGCGCACAGCAGCGGCCATGGTAACCCGTCCAGCGCCCGAAGACAAGACCAAGGCTACAAGCGGCAGAACGCTGCAATGCCAGGTGACGTGGGAGTCGTACTGAGTGCGTGCAAAACAATGAACGATCTTAGCAGTTGACGGTCAGCAAATCCCGGAGGCAGTTAAATCAATCTTAACGTAAATCCCTACTCGATAGCAATGATTGAAATTAATGAAACGAAGTGTAGTTAACGTAATGACATAACCCCTACGAAAAGATCAAATTACACCAAGCTATCGACCAGACGTCCAATGAAATATCTGAAACCGCTTGCACGCGTTCGGCGTATTTGCGTTAAATATGGATGTGAAATTCATTTGTAAATAGAAACATTATCAAGGGGAGTTTCGAAATACACAAGGCGTGATGCAGTTCGTGACGAGATCACGATTCCACAAAAATAACATATATTACCCGGCTGCGACCACCGAGAGAGCTCCAACAACGCTTCGGCTCTCTGTGACCACAAGCCATTCAGCCACAAATGCGCAGCGAGTTACGTCACGCTGGGGGCCGGCCTGACACCGCCGCCCCGGAGAGCTGGCGCGCAGCCTCACCAGCTCGACGGACACCCTCTGTGCGGCGCGTTGGCACACGTAGTGCATTGCGGAGTCGCACGGGGCCCAGTACCAGAAGCCGTCCAGCGACGAAAGGTAGGCACATTCGTCCGACGCCGGCCGGCCTGTAACAGGGCGTGTCAAGCTGCACGTCAGCGTGGAACACGCCGGCAGGAGGAGGGGACCGGGTCAGCGTGGGACACGCCGGCAGGAGGAGGAGACCGGGTCAGTGTCGGACGCGCCGGCAGGAGGAGGGGACCGGGTCAGTGCGGGACACGCCGGCAGGCGGAGGGGGCCGGGTCAGTGTCGGACGCGCCGGCAGGCGGAGGGGGCCGGGTCAGCGTGGGACACGCCGGCAGGCGGAAGGGACCGGGTCAGTGTCGGACGCGCCGGCAGGCGGAGGAGACCGGGTCAGCGTGGAACACGCCGGCAGGAGGAGGAGACCGGGTCAGCGTGGGACACGCCGGCAGGCGGAGGGGACCGGGTCAGTGTCGGACGCGCCGGCAGGCGGAGGGGGCCGGGTCAGCGTGGGACACGCCGGCAGGCGGAAGGGACCGGGTCAGTGTCGGACGCGCCGGCAGGCGGAGGGGGCCGGGTCAGTGTCGGACGCGCCGGCAGGCGGAAGGGACCGGGTCAGTGTCGGACGCGCCGACAGGCGGAGGGGGCCGGGTCAGTGTCGGACGCGCCGGCAGGCGGAGGGGGCCGGGTCAGCGTGGGACACGCCGGCAGGCGGAAGGGACCGGGTCAGTGTCGGACGCGCCGGCAGGCGGAGGGGGCCGGGTCAGTGTCGGACGCGCCGGCAGGCGGAAGGGACCGGGTCAGTATCGGACGCGCCGACAGGCGGAGGGGGCCGGGTCAGTGTCGGACGCGCCGGCAGGCGGAGGGGGCCGGGTCAGCGTGGGACACGCCGGCAGGCAGAAGGGACCGGGTCAGTGTCGGACGCGCCGGCAGGCGGAGGGGGCCGGGTCAGTGTCGGACGCGCCGGCAGGCGGAAGGGACCGGGTCAGTGTCGGACGCGCCGACAGGCGGAGGGGGCCGGGTCAGTGTCGGACCGCCGGCAGGCGGAGGGGGCCGGGTCAGCGTGGGACACGCCGGCAGGCGGAGGAGACCGGGTCAGTGTGGGACACGCCGGCAGGCGGAGGGGGCCAGGTCAGCGTGGACATGCCGGCAGGAGAAGGGGGCCAGGTCAGCGTGGACACGCTGGCAGGAGGAGGGGGCCAGGTCAGCGTGGACACGCTGGCAGGAGGAGGGGGCCAGGTCAGCGTGGGACACGCCGGCAGGCGGAGGGGGCCAGGTCAGCGTGGGACACGCCGGCGGGTGGAGGGGGCCGGGTCAGCGTGGGACACACCGGCAGGAGGAGGGGGCCAGGCCAGCGTGGGACACGCCGGCAGGCAGAGGAGACCGGGTCAGCGTGGGACACGCCGGCAGGCGGAGGGGGCCAGGTCAGCGTGGGACACGCCGGCAGGTGGAGGGGGCCAGGTCAGCGTGGGACACGCCGACAGGCGGAGGGGGCCAGGTCAGCGTGGGACACACCGGCAGGAGGAGGGACCCCGGTCAGCGTGGGACACACCGGCAGGAGGAGGGGGCCAGGTCAGCGTGGGACACGCTGGCAGGAGGAGGGGGCCAGGTCAGCGTGGGACACGCTGGCAGGAGGAGGGGGCCAGGTCAGTGGGACACGCCGGCAGGAGGAGGGGGCCAGGTCAGCGTGGGACACGCCGGCAGGCGGAGGGGGCCGGTCAGCGTGGGACACACCGGCATGAGGAGGGGGCCAGGTCAACGACCCCACGAAAAAGTGCACAGTCAAATGGTGGGTGTGGCGTTTGCCAATAAAAATGTGAGCAATTCAGTACTTACAAGAAACACGCGCACGCATGGTTTTGGGTCTCGGGGTTGCTCTTACACACCCAGGGGCTTGATTTGCATGATCGTTTTGTAACCACAACACACCGTGACCCGAGGAAGTTACGTTTTTATTCTTTGGACCGTCCACAGGCTCGATTTACCAAAATACTTGCGCTCAAAACAGCGCGGTAGCGATACGGTAGCTATAAGGTCGTGTTCGGATCTTGACCGGTGATAAAAACGCGCAATTTTACCTTGTGGCTACCCCGTGGCTCTGCTTATTTTTTGCTTCCTCGGAATTCCCCTACCTCTCCCAGATTAACAACAAAATTCTGTGATGTTTTTTGTGTTCTTAATTTGCTAAGCGGGAGGTTGCTGTGCGCTGTGTTTCCTGATCCCACCATCCAAAGAAATTTGACCAAGTTATTCACTTCCTAATCTCCGACCCATTTCATTGCCGTCTAATTTCGTTGACAACGTCCGTGCACAAGCTGTTTTAGATGGTGGCCAACGACGTTTTATGAGTTATCTTAAGACTTCCGGTTGCCTTCCGAATGTCCAGCGTGGATTACGCAAGAACCGGCGCACTGTTGACCATCTGTCGATTTTGCATACAGCCATACGATATTTTTGTATAATGACGTCATACGATAGCCATAGAGGCTCCAGAGTTTGGGAGTTTTACACCGTTATGGTTAATTTGTTTTCGTCTAACCAGCCATGGAAAGTAATACCATAGGAGGTTACGACAACGATGTAAAATTTTATCACGATAGGTGAAAACATCTTTCGTCAGTGACGTAAATGGATCATGATTTTAGCGCAAAGCGGTTGCAAATTAGACAATGAATAATGCAAAGGTTATTTATAAGCTGAAAGTGAGACCTTAAAGTTAAAAACTGGTACCGTTTACGGTTCACGCTTTCAAGGGGTCACTGAATGCGACCAGAATGCCAAATACGACCCATGCGACTCCTGGCCAGACCACAGACTCACAATGAGGTTATAATGAGTGATCATCATGCTCGCATTATCTTTATTACTCTCGAACAAGCATACTACCAAAGTTTAACATAATCATCACGATATCCAGGTTGGTGATGTCTGAGTTGGAAAACGCTAACGTAAGTAAGTACGTAAGTCTCGAACTCAAACGTCCCAGTTGGAGGTCAAACGCTCTACACTTTAGAAGGCTGTGCCATAGCGTTCCCCAAGGCACGCATTCGCCGCAGTTGAGCTGAATGACGAGGCACAAGTTAAAACATGCTGCCTTTCGAGGAAGTCGGTTACGTGGAACTGTCCAGACCAAGGACTGTGTGGCTCACGCTATACCTATCGATAAACATAAAACTCACTGCTCCACGGAGACGGCCGGCGGCGCACACGGAGACGGCCGGCGGCTGCGCAAATAAACAGCAGTCGGCGAGAGTTCCGGCAAAAAGTGGCCCTGAATGCGTTGTACTCACCACGGGGGACTGGGAGCTTGTCTTCACCAAAATTGTCGAAAAATGCAGTTTGTCCCAGGCTTTCTGGCTCTTCCTTCAGGCCGATCCACCATCGTGTCGCGCTGTTCGCTGTAAAACATAGGAACTGCCACTCAAAGACTGCTCTTCGTGCCGTTTTCGAGTACCATGCATGCTTAAAACGATACGGAACTTCACCGCAAGCTGATGTGTATTTCCTTCTTTCCATACCCCTGAAACACTGGTTTTGCAGAGGCCTACCTGGGTGTTAGCTTAAGCACATTCAGTAAACGAATAAAACATCATAGACACTTCTCTAATGTGTCACTGAGCGAGCTGAGCGGCCCAGTGGCGTTGCGTCAAGTGACGTTTCACGTGCATTACGTTGTATGTGACAGCGCGGTACAATTTTGGGAATAGATGTGAAGAAAATAACGACACACAGATCAATAGGGTAGACGTCATGTCTTTCTGTCTGCATAATATGCGCATGCACGCGCAATGCACACACGCGTTTAGCCATCAACGCCTGCTGAAGGCCAGAGATAACCAGTCAAGGCCAGCACTGGCCGTCGTTTTCGGCACCAGACGGACGCCTATGGCGTGGCGCCTATGGCGTACTGACCTCTGAGCAGGTCCATGACGTCCAGCAGCCGGCTCCGATTACCGATGACGGCCAGCTGGCCGCCTCGCTCCTGACAGAGGGCGCCGGCGCCGGCCCAGCTCATTGTTCTGGTCGCGTTGACCTGGAAACACCAGGCGCCCCGCTGCGCCCAGTCCAGGGGGCACGGCGAACCTGTGGGGGGATCAAGGGTCAACCATGGAAGCATACGCCCGCGGTCGGCCGCAAGGGCGGGAGTGCGGGGAGACGGACAGAGGTCAAAGGGCGCCGAGGATCGGCGTATGTCGATCGCTGGCTACGTCTTGGACTGATCGTGGAACATTGCTGGGTGTTACATGAAAAGTATATCTTCGAGTACTGCCAAGCGAGACTAAATGCTTGTGTCTGAACTCCGCCCTGGTCATATTAACGCTGCTAGTGGCTCGCGCTGCTGTACCGCTGAGCTGCGTTGCTGCGCTGGATAAAGAACGCCCCTCCGAGGCAGTGGGAACTTGGAAACTCAGCTCTAAAACGTTCGCCGTGTACCTTCTTTTACCACACTGACTTTTTTGCGAGATGTGTGATACAATAAGATCATCTCTATGCCGTTTCTTTGTGGTCTTGCATGCGTTTGGAATAGATACACATTGTTAGCACGCCTGGTGGCGTTGCAGGTCTGAACATTTGATGGTTTCTTGGATATTCTAATGTTCTCAGTGTGCTGAAGAAAACGATAAAGCGGGAGGTGCCCGCACTGCTGCACCGGTATACGCCGCCTAATCGTCGCAAGCCGACTCATAATACGGCGAATACAGGTGCATCACACCACAGTGCACCACGGACATTAACGAAGCTGAAATTGTATCATTCTCATGCATGCGAAAAAGCAGCATAGCGTGGCTCTTGTCACAGATTGTGTGTCGTTTACTGCCACTGACGTCAGCCTGACCATCAGCTGTCGGCACCAGCGGAGGGAGCCAGCCTGACCATCATCTGTCGGCACCAGCGGAGGGAGCCAGCCTGACCATGTGTCGGCACCAGCGGAGGGAGCCAGCCTGACCATCAGGTGTCGGCACCAGCGGAGGGAGCCAGCCTGACCATCAGGTGTCGGCACCAGCGGAGGGAGCCAGCCTGACCATCAGCTATCGGCACCAGCGGAGGGAGCCAGCCCGACCATCAGCTATCTGCACCAGCGGAGGGAGCCAACCAGTCTATCAGCTGTCGGCACCGGTAGAGGGGACCGACGAACGACCTCTGTCTGTCGTACATCCTGTTTTGTGGCTGCGCTTTGTTTGGATCTACTTGCAGATTGGACCTGCAGGTTTATCACCACCCTCAAACAAACAACGTAATGGAAACAGCCAAAGCTGGCAACAGTTATTTGGGGATGTCTGTTGCACATTTGGGAGATTTTTGTGCTCACCTATAGAGTATAGACGAGCAGATAAATGGATATCGTCGACAGCCTTAGAGCTGGCTTGGTGCAAAAGTGGTGATGCTAGCTTGCGCCATATAAACATGTGCCATCATATTTCAATAGCCCAAACGCAGTTGTTCTTTCAGGATCACGCCATCCAACAGTTAAACATATTTCACTGGAGCGTGCACTACCACGTGATCTCAAACGAGCAGGGTCAGGGGGTTGGAACGGCGTACCATATCTTCGCCAGCATGCCACCTGAGCAGGATTAGCCCGATTAGATAGTCGATGTCCGTGGTTTTGATCACATGCCCCAACGCTTACACCGCCAACTGTAAAAAGGGAAAAATGCAGCACCGCGGCCTGTCTGCCTTCATTGAACTGTTGTGACCGGGTGAGACGAAAACGGGTAGACATGAAAAGGCAGGTCATTCGCAGCTAACTACAGCGTAGGTTTGGTAAATTAGGCGACAATCCAAGAGACATAGGCCCAGGAGGCTCTATCCGGGACACCTACACTCAGGAACGAACCGCACCCGAGTCTTATGCCTAGAAAGCATATGCCCACTGAATTTTGGTAGCATTATCTTAGAGCTTATGCCTCAACGAAGAAGAAGAACGGCTGAAGGACCTAACTCTCTTTGTCTATCATCCATGTAAATTTTGTTTGTCATCTCATCCACCCTTCAACCACAGAAAATGCAGTGTTCTAGTAGGGTGAATGAGTTGGATAATCTCGGTTCAGTAGTGTTCGGTAGCAATCGTACCAAATGCCATTAGCTTGCTATCTGGTATGATCCACCCGAGCTAGTGAGATGCTGTTGCTGGCTGACTGCCTTTGCGGTCTGTCTGGTATGATCCGCCCGAGCTAGTGAGGCGCTGTTGCTGACTGGCTGCCTTTGCAGTCTGCAGTGACGCAGGTATGGCATTCCATACCCATCCTATGGCATCAAAACGTTAACAGCTAACAGCTTGCCATTAATGGCTGAGAAGGCGGCCGGTCTGCCAGTTCCGTGTAGCGATGCAACACCGTCAGGAATAGGTTCTGAACCAAAATGACACAGTAATGGCAATCTCCATCAGTGCATCGGTGCCTCAAGCACGTTCACCCCCACAAGGCCGATGAGAGATGAATGAAACTTATTTGATGTATGGTAGGTTGGGCCATCGCATTTGGGTTCATGGGGCCTGATAATTCAATACATTTTGATAATAGTCTGCCACGTAGGTTGCAGCGTACTTGACTCCAAATGCATATGACGCGTACGAGTTCCTCTGAACAATTTTACTGCACGAGATGGTAGCAGAATACAACCCTTTATGTGGCGCTGGGCAATCAAAGATCCCCGGGAATGCGCTGCCTTTATCCCGCACCGTCTGGAAGAGCCTGGACGGCGTATTTCCTGTTGTTGCCAGAACGTGACCGAGGGAGTGTTGACTCAATCGCCCAACTGTAGGTCTAATGGGCGTAGGTCCCCTGGGTGAAGGTCCAGTGAGCACAGGTCTCCTGCGCATAGGACCGATGAAAGTAGGTTCTCTGGGTGTTGATCTAGTGAGCGTAGGTCTCCTGGACGAAGGTTCAGTGAGCCTAGGTCTTGTGAGCGTAGATGTAATGAGCGTAGTCCTCCTGTATGTAGGTCTATTGAGCATAGGTCTGCAGGACGAAGGTCCCCTGACACGGTATCGTTAACAACCCCTTTTAATGGCATTACACAACGTTGGGCTGAATGAACTGGGGAACAGAACGCGCAAACCGTCCTGGGCGTGGTCCCGCACCTTCGTGCTCACCCTTTTAGCAGGGTGTCCAGCCGAAGCCATGCCATGCTCATACAAGTACAGTCTGTACGTTACAGCGCCCGGTAATCGCTCTCAGAGCTGCCTGACCACAGAAGCGCCCCTTGCTTCGTCAGGGCATAGAAAGCGGCCACATTTTGCGGAGCAGGCAGAATGCTGAGGATTAAGTACTCCCCCCTAATATGTGACGGTCCCAGTTATGAAATCAGCGGGTTCTAAAATTAACCTTGCCTAAAATCCTGCTTCATGCCTTCTACTGGTATTATGAACGTCATAGAACGGAGCGGCATCAGACGCCCTGAGACAATCTCAGGGGACCTAAGACAAGCTCAGGGGACCTGAGACAAGCTCAGGGGACCTGAGACAAGCTCAGGGGACCTGAGACAAGTTCAGGGGACCTAAGACAAATTCAAGGGACCTGAGAGAGAGGAAGTGCTCACCTGCTATCAGCGCTGCCGTCATCATCACGCCAATCCACCAGCCGTGCGCTCGCTGGAGCGAGACAGCCATGGCTGTCGCGTGCGTCCTGCGGGGTTTGGTAGCGCTCCGCCGCGTCTGGCCGTCGGCAGCTGCTCCGGCACGCACCCGCTCCGCAGCCGGGCCTGACTGGTGACCCTCGGTTGGTGCGCCGGCGTCCGTGCGGCCGCTTATCACGCAGACAGCGACGACTGGGGGGGGGGGGGGGGAGGGGGAGGGATGAGTGGCACCCGGCGGGCCCCGGCGTCTGTTTGGACCAGCCTCGGATGCAGGAGAGGGGGGGGGGGGGGGCGACGCTCAGCTGCTGCGTTCTTCACAGAGGCGACGGGTGTGCGACCCTTGTTTGAGAGACCTCGACCGCCACAATATGCGGGCGTCAAAACCGTGGCTACGGAGGGGAGCAATGCCTGGAAGCCAACTGGCCTTTGCTCCCTCATGTGAAGTGCGCTATAAGTTGGTGTGACGTCGAATAAGTCATGCTTCCACGTAACTGGCACGCGGAAGCGTCGACTCTTAAGTCATCCTCGAGGCCGGTGTCATATCAGCTTAATCTATGATTAAATTTTTCTACAGACGTACGTGGGCCGTCAACGCCTCGTATTGTCAAGTGATGCGCTAACCGACAGTTGTGACCACATTAAGCGGTGCGCTGACCGACAGTCGTGACCACAGTAAGCGGTGCGCTGACCGACAGTCATGAACACATTAAGCGGTGCGCTGACCGACAGTTGTGACCACATTAAGCGGCGCGCTGACCGACAGTCGTGACCACAGTAAGCGGTGCGCTGACCGACAGTCATGAACACATTAAGCGGTGCGCTGACCGACAGTCGTGACCACATTAAGCGGTGCGCTAACCGACAGTCTTGACCACTTAAACGGTGCGCTGACCGACAGTCGTGACCACCTTAAGCGGTGCGCTGACCGACAGTCGTGACCACATTAAGCGGTGCGCTGACCGACAGTTGTGACCACATTAAGCGGTGCGCTGACCGACAGTCGTGACCACCTTAAGCGGTGCGCTGACCGACAGCCGTGACCACCTTAAGCGGTGCGCTGACCGACAGTCGTGAACACATTAAGCGGTGCGCTGACCGACAGTCGTGACCACATTAAGCGGTGCGCTAGCCGACAGTCGTGACCACCTTAAGCGGTGCGCTGACCGACAGTCGTGACCACATTAAGCGGTGCGCTGACCGACAGCCGTGACCACATTAAGCGGTGCGCTGACCGACAGTCGTGACCACATTAAGCGGTGCGCTGACCGACAGTCGTGACCACAGTAAGCGGTGCGCTGACCGACAGTCATGAACACATTAAGCGGTGCGCTGACCGACAGTCGTGACCACCTTAAGCGGTGCGCTGACCGACAGTCGTGAACACATTAAGCGGTGCGCTGACCGACAATTGTGACCACGTTTAATCCTTTTGAGCCTTGCAGATGCGAAACAAGGACTTGTATCACCCAGTTTAATCCAATTTTTCCCCAGTTCGTGGGCACATCCACAACAGCTTTCCCGACATATCCAGTGTAAGAGCCGCGTGAGAACCCAGGAACACGTGGTGCGTGATAAGCCTCAATCCAGCACCTTCTCCGAAAGGTGGACATTAACTCCACGGTGCAATGCATGCGAAGAGCTGACTAAGAAGAGGTTCTGTCAGGATACCGAAGAAGGCAATGCATCCAAGATCTGATACCCCCAGTTCATTGAAGGCTCGTCCTCCGCAGGAGCACGTTAAGGGGCAGTGGTAGAAGTCGTACAGATATTCGTCGCAGCATGGTTGTTTTATTTCAAAAGACGGAGGACATTAGGCAGCTATAGCTGTTTTTGCTCTCTCTCGTCTAAGGTGTCTGTGTCGAGTTCATCCTCGGAGCCCTTTGCTGCCCATCGAATATGCTATCCCTGGCCTTGACCGTTTCCAAAATGTTGCCTGTAATGCCAGCTCGTTGGCTCGATCTCTGTGTCCCTGTCCATCTCTGTGTCCATGGCAATGGGCAGGACCTTTGCAGCACTCGGCCGCTTACTTCGGTTTAGTTAGCGTAGAGTTCTATCGTTTATGATCGACCATTCCAGGCTGAGGTTATGCAGAGAGACAGGCAATATGGCTGTAATGCGGCCATCGTCAGTTGCCAATGTCACCGAGTTAACCCACCCGAGGGCCGCCCGCAGTGGGCGCCCCCTGAGGTGGGGCGTCACGGGGATTCACGAGGAGGAGACCGGGATGAACGCGGGACCGGAGGCGGGTGTCCTGGCCGGTTAACGTTAGCCGTTTGACGGTTTAACGAGTCTTTAGACGTTTGGTGATGAATGCAGTGGAGCAGCCGGGGGGTACAGGACACGCGTGCCACTTCCCCGTCCCACTGTTAGGTCTCGAGAGGCTCGAGGGCCCGATGGGACAGGCGATCAGGGGCCCGCTGAGGGCAGGGGGAGGGAGGGGGGCACAAAGGACCAGCCGGAGGAGGCATTAAGAGACTTCGGCCTATAAGGCAGTGCCCTCAAATGCCATTCAGTGCGTCTCTCGCACCGGTCGGAGGTCCCCTGGGTCAACGAGGGTCTCTGGCGGTCAGAGAGCATCGATACCGAACAGTCGGCAACGTGTCGGTCTGGGCATTAGGGACTCCTTTCCAAAGCAGAGACAAGGCCCGAAAACACGATTGTGATTGAAAATTTTTGCATTTGTCAGGGCCTTGAAACAATGGGGGCTCTCCGTGGTGTCAGGGGTTCACAGTGCCAAGCAGGGTATCCATTACCCTGTTCTGGCGGGGGCTGTTGATCGGCAAGGAACACATTTGCTGAACAGGGACAGGGACGGAACACCGAAAGTCAGAGAGTTTCCTGCCTTGGTCTGAGCCTATTGCAATGAAAGGATACATGATCGAGGACGACGAACGATTTCGTATTCACATGATCTACGATGAGTTACAGGCGCAAACTGCAAGTCGATACCAGAATTAAACCCACCCAACATTTTTAATCACAACATAATTTCGGAAACTCCCTTTGCCTCAAGAATTATTCGGTGAGGTTATTGTGACATGAAACCGGAGTGACCCGACCCATCAGTTAAAACACAATGAGCCATGATGCGTACTGGAACCCATAACCAATCTAGAGCTCTAAAGAAGCGTTCATGGTGAGTGTTGATCAGGTTAGAAAGTCCAAAAATGTGTACTATAAGAAAGCATTTTACAATACGCTTTTGACCTGAGCTTAGGCGAAACGAATCGTGATTTCGTCATGAAAAGTCTTGAACATTTTTTGACGGGCGCTGTGTGCTCATGAGTTGCACCAAACAAATTGAATGAGGACGTTAAACATCTCCCAGTCAATGGAAGGTTAAGGCAACAGTGCCATCCTCGGAGGTATCACAAAAGTCATCCATGTATGAATGCTCTGGAATAGTTAACCACAGTCAAGCCAATAGTTGAGCACAGGACACAAGAATGCGCCTGGGTCACCTACACCAAGCACCAGGGATTTTGATTAAAATGCGTCGTATAGAGCTGGACAAAGCTGTTAAAGACACTACCTGAATCAGACATGGCGGCAGCCAGAAGCGAGCCAGCGGATGGGCCGGTCAGTTGGTTTGAACGGTCCAATAGGTTCGCCTCGATCAGTTGTTGACAATGCTCTGGGGCTTCTGACCACTCATGGGGTGTCTGTCATGCGCGCTGGCCTAAGTCACCATGTCACGACTGCGTTGGGGAGTTTAGAATAAAGTGCTGTGATCGAAATACGGTAAAACAAGATTTCATTTAAGCTAAACGTCGTCAAAAAAGCTAGTCGTAAAAGTGCTGCGATTGCAAGTGCATTACACCAGAGCAAATATCGGACAGTATGTCTTTCATTTGACATCCTAATAACAGGCAAGGAGTCTGCTGGACGAATTCCGCAGAATGAGCACTTCTAATACCAATTTTGGGTTCATGGTGAACAATCTCATAAAACAGTTTGTGCGGTCAAAATCGGACACGATAATCTACATGACTGCTGGTAAAGCTGAAAATACGCTTTAAAGAAAGGGCACAACCTTTAGCCAGCGACAGTTTACTTGCCTCAGTATTTTGAGAATCTCAGCCGAAGGTTGAGGAACTAATGTGTGCACGTTTGCACAGATTTACGTGCATACCATGTAGGTCTGCGGACATGGTCCCCATACTTGCACCAAGTGAATCATTCATGTCACAACGATGTTGCGGAGAAAAAGTTTGGCACAAGGTTTGACACATAAAGATCCCGCCAAGGAAGCCAGTGCATAGGTGCCGTGTGTCTATGTCCTGGACAGAAAGAGTTGTCCTAGTATAGGTATCTTGAAATGAGCCTAGTCGCTCAGATAATAAAAGGCGTGCTGAAATGAGTGGAATGACCCTTACGAAATGAACATATTTGCACGAAAAGGCTAACTGACAGTGAAAAGGACGGCAAACCCCATCTTTTAATGTGGAATGATAGCGTTTGTTGGCCTCTCGCCCTGCCCCTGCGCCTACGATCATGAGGAGGATGTGCAGCCTTACTGATGTATGAAAGAGCCTACTGCTGTATTCCTCGTAAACTTACAGCTGTGTGAAGACGCCGAACACCAGAAGGGTATCATTGGCACGTCATCGCCTAGTCTGTAGAGGAACATCCAGACGTCCAGACATCCAGACATTTATTAGGCTTGCCCATTGCATCGCAGCACACATTTTTCTTTGTGAAAGCTTCGCTTTCACAATGCCTCACTCGGGCCGCCAGTAGGTGCCGACATGAGGCGGTGCATATGAGCATGGCTGCGCGCCCGGGCGCCGGCGCCGGTGCCGACCGGTCCTGGCCGCAGCTCGTCCGGGGCGCCGGTGCCGGCCGGTCCTGGCCGCAGCTCGTCCGGCGCCGGCGCCGGTGCCGGCCGGTCCGACAGCAGCTCGTCCCGGGCGCCGGACGGTCCTGGCCGCAGCTCGTCCCGGGCGCCGGTGCCGGCCGGTCCTGACCGCAGCTCGTCCAGGGCGCCGGTGCCGGCGGTCCTGACAGCAGCTCGTTCCCGGGCGCCGGTGCCGGCCGGTCCTGACAGCAGCTCGTCCGGGCGCCGGTGCCGGCCGGTCCTGGCCGCAGCTCGTCCCGGGCGCCGGCGCCGGCCGGTCCTGACAGCAGCTC